CAAATCCAATAGCATGTGAACACGTACCGAGACACAAAGCGGGCGTGAGACTCCACGGCGCCTGGCTGCCCTCCTGCCACCAGATAGCCCAATATCTTCTCATGGTGACCGTTTCCGCTGAGCACGGCCAACGCTAAGAGGAGAATATTCTGGTGAATTTGTGGCCAACCAGAGGAAGTGAAGATGTGTACCTGATGAAGGAATGCCTCCGAGAACACCAGCAGCTGACCCAGGAGGAGTGCAGGATGGTCCATGGGCTGGATGCGCACAAGAGAACGGGGAGAGGGAGGAATAGGAGCAGGATACTGACACAGGCACGGGACAAGGAGTTTGTGAGCGATTTGGGAAGGTGGGAGGGACCATTGGCCAGCCCGGCCCCGGGCCAGAGCTTCCATGCGGGTACACACTAGCTAGACTGCACCGCGCCGGGGCGGTGTGCACACCATGCATCACACAAATTTGCACTCGCTTCATGCCCATTTTGCAAGGGCTGATGGCGCAGCCCAGGATACAAGCTCCTGTTCATGGAAACCCGCTCATCTTGCAACACCCACATGGAGATCTCGCTTCTTTCAGCTGTGCCTCTCGCTTGTTGTCTCCATTGAGCGATTAGTAACGAGCACATCTGTTACATAGTTCCAGTTGCCTCCTGCAGGCCTGGATGATACCCTGAGCAGCAGACTGTCCTGCTGGCCAGACTGCCATCCTGGCCAGCGATCGAGAGGCCACGCTAAGGGCCTGGGGTGCATATCCATTGCTGCTCAGAGAGACTGCTCAAACACAAGTGCCAAATACTTACGGATCCCACTGAAATCAGAAGTATCAGATTACGAGAGTAGACTACCGGGTAAAATACATGATGGGAGAAATGGCACACCACCGCCGGGAATACCGCTCCGTACCAGCTGTGTTGCAATACCGTGGAAAGGATCACTCCGAATGCTCGCACTTACCCCGACAGTTTCCTCCGGCCACCATCAACGTTGATGATAGTCCTGTCCGGGTGGATGGTCGTAGACAGAAAGTGAGGGGGAGTCCGTCGACTAGCACACGAGAGAAGTGATGTAAAGCAAGAGGTAATAGAAGTGTCGCCTAGAGAGACCAGAGGACCCGTACGACCGCGCGAGCGGCGTGTCCGAGTGCGGGAGCGAGGAGGAATGGAGGCGAAACACGAGAGCGTCATCGAGAAGGCGAAGTCGAAGGCGGGCGCACACGGGCGCAAAGCGAGGTCGAGGGTGAATTCGAGAGGCGAGCGTCGAGGAAAACAGGCGGGAAAGTGAGCAGGAAAACCAAAACTGAATAATAGTGGCATAAAGCCCGAGTATAAGTACATGAGCGGCGCGGGCCAGAGGTAGACTGGATGTCGAGACAGAAGGTGTTGGTGTCGGGAGTCGCGAGTGGATGTAAAGTATGAGGGGGCGGGACGGCGCGCGACGCGATCACGTGGAGCGCGCGCGCCGCGAGAAACTACCGGACATGTCAAACCCGCGCGTCGAGAGCGTCGGAGTTGCGATGTGCGGCGGCTCCGCGGGCGCGGGATGACGGAACTATGAAGCGGGACAGGATACAAAACGTCAGAGTCAAGTCGGGAACGCCGGAACAGGCATGAATCGCGCGGAACACTTACTGAGCCCGCGAACGCGGTGGCCTCGAACTCGCGAACGAGTCGTCGGACCCCGCAGCGCCGCGGGCAGCGCATCAACGTGCATCGTGCGAAGCTCGCAAATGCATGTAGTCACCGCACCGCCATGTCTCCAGGGCACAAATGGCGAAGCCTGAGGGTGCACAATGATCGCCGCTGCTCACACTTTGATCTTGTCTGGGGCGCGCAATGTCTCTTAGGGGTGGCCTCCTGAATGCCGCGGCCATACCTCCTTCCGTGAGGACTCCGAACATGCACTGCGCAGCCGTGCACAACGGCAAACCCCGTGGGAGATGCAGGGATATGCCCCTATCAGGCAGAGGACACAGAAGGCAGCCGGGGCGCAGACTTCGCAGACCTTGTCGAGATACTGCATATTAATTGCCAGTGAGTCGAAATGACAACAATTATTCAACTTTGATATTTGACCTCCATTGGTGCGATACAAAGTGTGGGTGTGCATCCTGGACAATGCAGCCGCAGTGTTGCTGCTTCGGAGGCAGAAGGTGCGGGACAGAAGCACAAGCGGGCCTGATGGC